ATAGGTCCAATTTTGCAATATGAAAAAGAGATTAAAGTTGCTCTGAGTGGTGATCACTGACCAGTTAGCAGCTGTCAGAACTCAGGATTCCTCTAGGCATCGACAGTGGAAATATAAATGGTTTCCACTCCAGGAGTGGTGGTGCACCCCTGTAACCCCAGCACCGTGGAGGCCGAGGCAGGAGAATCACAAGTCAGCAGTCAGCCTGAGCTAAAGAGTGAGCTCAAGGCCAGCCTAGACTACATAGTAAGACCATCTGAAAGACAAATCAAGGAACAAAACATTTGTTCTGCCCGTGTGGATGAAATTTGGCAGTTTCTATCCAAGTAACAAGTGGATATATCCTTGGTAGCCCTGGCTGACCTTGAACTCCAGATCCTCCTGCCTCAGCCTCCCACATACTATGATGATAGATGTGTACCGCCATGCCCAGCTGGGATGTTATCTTTTGGCCCGGCATTTGTCCTTGTAGGGATATATCTGACCTATGTGTGTGTGTGCGTGTGCAAAATGACTTCTGTATAAGTTCACACACTGTAATAGTAGTTTGGGTTCCAAAGTGAGTTAGAGGCCAGTCTGAACTGCATAGCAAGACCCTGTCTCAAAAAAACAAAACAAAATAACAATAACAACAACAAAACCTGGGAAGAGGTGTGGGGAAGAATTTGCATGAATAAATAAGTATTTGATTGGACATGAGTAGAATGTTTTCTATGTGTGCTGTAACAAATTACCACAAAATTAGTGGCTCAAAAGCAAAGAAATTTATTTTCTTCTACTTTTGGAGGTGGAAGTCTGGAGTGAGTTTCGTGGGGCAGCAGCCAAGGTGGCTCCAGGGTCTGGATCTCCGTGCAGTCTCTCAGGCTCCAGCATGGATGTCTTTGCTTGTAGAACTGCATTCCTCACCTCCATTTTCAAAGCCAGCTGCACAGTGTGCACAAGTCTCTCTCTGCGTCAGTGGTCGGGTAGCCTCCTGTGACCAAATCTCCAGTGAGTCCCTGCGTCAGGACACACGGGCATTAGCACCTCGGGCCCACCTGGATAACCCGGGCTCATCTCACATTCCCCACTGCACTGCGTCTCTGAAGCTCCTGAACCGTACAAGGTGATGATTCACAGGTCCCCGGGATCAGGATGTAGTCATCTGTGGGAAGCCATATTCATCCTGTTACATAAAATCTATGGAAGACCAAACCAAAATAGTGTCACTCATGCTAATGACCCACATCACAGAAACAAAACTGTTGACCTGACCTGCCAAGAAATCAGGAGCCAGATGAGAGCCAAATCCCAAACAGGCCAGTTTGGGCCTGCAGGGTACGGGATGCCCCACCGCCTTCACCCTAATGAGGAAAGCAAAGGGAAGGAAGTATATGTTAACTGATGTACTTTTTTGTATTTGTTGTTCATGTTCGTGCTGGTTTATAAACATCAACTGAGAGGTGTGATGGTGTATACTTGTAATCCCACCATGTGGGATTTTGTGATCCTCTTGCCTCTGCCTCCCAAATAGCTGGGATTGTAGATGGGTACCAGAATGTTTTTATTATTATTATGTTTTTTTTGGTTTTTTGAGACAGGGTCTCACTATGTGGTTGAGACTGACCTAGAACTCACTATGTAGCCCAGGCTGATCTCAAACTCACAGCGATCCTCCTGCCTCAGCCTCCCTAGTGCTGGGATTACAGACATGCGCCACCATGTTTATTATTATTATTATTATTATTCAATAATGCAGATCAAACTCAGGACCTTGCACTTGTGAGGCAGGTGCAGTGCCACTGAGCTAAATCCCTGAACTTTTTCAGCCAGGGTCTCACCACGTAGGCCAGCTCGACCTTAAACTTGAGATAATCCTTCTGCTTTTGTCTCCCAAGTGCTGGGATTACAAGCATGCACCACCATGCCTGGGATCAGTGTGGTTTTTATTCTAAATTTTTAAAGGGCGTAGTTGTTTTTGCCTGAGTATTTTTGGTTTGTTTTTGTTCTGCGTGTGTGTGTGTGTGTGTGGTAGGGATCCAACCAAGGCCCTCACGTGGCAGTAATTGCTCTCTTACTAACCTTTGCCTTCTCCAGTTACCTGGCAGTTCCTGTAGAAATGCCTCGCCAATCAAGGTATTCCAGGTCCTTCTGGCCTGGAACAAAGAACTTGGAGACAAGACAAACACGGTGCCAAAAGTTTATTTCAAAAGCCCGGGGTAAATAGGTATGGGAGAAACCAGCTCTGCAGAGCAAACTTGGGGAGAACAAAGAGAAACAGAGGGTAAAAGCAAAATAAAAGCACGCACCCTGTCTCAGAACAGCACCTGGCCTACAGCACAAACGGAGGATAGTGGCTTTCCCAGAAGGCCCCTCTTCTTTCATGCTGTCCACATCTGGTGGGAGCTCAGGAGAAGTTCCCCATACGGGTCCTCGCGTTGCTCTGCACTCTTGTGATTGACAAGTCTTGCTCAGTTCCCCAGCCAGCTTTGCCAGGCTTTACTTCCTATATCCCTCCCAACATCTTCATTTTAATGTTGTAATATTTATATTCATTCACTTGTCCTTCCCTCACTCTCTCTGAATGTACCTGTCTGTACGTATTGATTTAAAGTCAAAGCCTTTCCACTTTCCAAGCACCATGGTCCAAGTCTTGGGCTCAAGCAACTTCCCTGCCTCAGCCTCCCTGCAGGAGCTGAGACTACAGGATTTGCCATGGTGCCCACCCTTATAACCTTTAACCTCCAGGAGCATCGTGAACAAATGAAAGCACTGCTCATGAATGCCCTTATCTTTCCATTCCAGACTCTGGGTCGCTTGCCTTCACTTAACAATGGTGACAATGAGGACCTGACTCTCACAGGTGCCTAACCCAGGTGACTGTAAAACCCAGGGCAGGGCACATCCTCAAAGACGCGAGAACAGTCCCAGCTCCCTTCCCCTGCTCAGTTCCTCCACTTCTGTAAAATGAGAACACAAATGTGCACCAATAAATAACATCAAAAGTCAGAGTGAAGTTTCTCTAGGTGAGACGCAGGCCCCAGCGGGGCACCTCCGTGCTGAGATGTCCAGGAATCTACTTGAAATTGCCCAGCTTGGACCAGGAAGCACTTGGCAGGGGAGTGGCTCTTTTTTCCATGTATCTTCTAGGCATTGATCCCCATACAGGGTCTCGTGATGTTCAGTAGTCCAGGCTGGCCTCAAACTCACAGCGATCCTGCTGCCTCAGCCTCCTGAGTGCTGGGATAACAGGTGTGTGCCACCACGCCCAGCTTAGTCCACTTGCTTTGAACACACTTGTCCACTGTTCTGGAAGCTTTCCAAAGCAGATCTGGAAATCCTCTTTTGTGTGTTTGAGGGGCATGGTGAAAAGACAAAAACAAACAAAAAACACAGTGAATGCTGCTGTGGTGTGCCATTCACTGGCGAGGCAGCTCGTGAAAACATTACGCTGTGTCCTCATCCACCTTATTTTCTGGATCTGTACTGTGCAACTTCTGGCTCTTAACTGATGTCAAAATTCAGGACATCCAGGCAGCCATGACAGAATACAGGGTTGTTTCTACATTTTCTATCCATTAATTAAAAAATACCTGAATATTTGAAAGACTCAAATGGGCTGGGGATTTAGCTCACTGGTTCCACTGCCTTCCTTTCAAGCGCAAGGTCACAAGTTCGATCCCCACTACCAAAACAAAACAAAAACCAAAAAACACCCCACAAGAAACAAACAAATGAACAAAAAGCCTCAAGTTAAAATACAAAAGGAATGTACAGGGGAGTAGGAAAGGTAGAATCCCATATCATAAGCAATAGTTAGTACATCTGGAGTAGCTGGGTGAGGTTGCACACATCTGTAATCCCAGTACTTTGGGAGGCTGAGGCAAGAGGATTGCCATGAGTTCTTGGCTCAAAGAAAGCCGACCCCTCCCCCCCAAAAACCAAAAAATCTGGAGGAATGTACATCAAATTGCTTACACCATTCTGGTGAAAAGGACTGGGTTAAATGTTTTCTTCTTTTTTTAGAGACAGGATCTCACTATATAATATTAACAAGCTGGCCATGAAATTGCTGCAATCCTTGCTCAACCTCCCAAAGTGCTACGATTTCAGGTGTGCACACCTGGCAGTTTTATTTTTAACCCAGGGGTTTTGGTTCCCCCTTTTAATCTTGAAACTGGCTCTTACTAAATTGCTGAACTCTAATTTTTGTTTGTTTTTTTTGAGACAGGGTCTCACTATGTAGTCGAGACTGCCCTGGAACTCACTATGTAGCCCAGGCTGGTCTCGAACTCACAGCAGATCCTCCTGCCTCAGCCTCCTGAGTGCTGGGATTACAGGCATGCGCCACCACACCCAGCTTGGACTCTATAATTTTTGATGCTCCTGCCTCAGCCTCTCAGATTCCTGGGATTTGAAGCCACCACTCCTGGTGATTCGAGGTAAGTCTTATATTTTTTTTTACTTTTTTTTCAAATAAAATGCATAACCTTTCTATCATAAAATCGCCAAAGGGATTTCTGAAAAACCTTCCAACCTCTTCTTTACCTTGCCATTTGGCAGCCCTTGCCAGATTCATTTCTACACCCACCTCACTTAGTCCAACACTAAGCTCGAGGTCGACACCGAATAAATGTGCAGGAGTGAAAGGACTCTAGCAGGGTACAGGCATCCTGATCATATTTCCGGGCAAACCCAAACAGTACCAACTGTTTTCTGTCCTCAATTTGTTAATAAGGCTTCAACAACACTGACACTAGTGGACAAAAGATGCTGTTTTTCAACGCAGACACACTGCAGCAAGTCAGGCGCTTCGAGTCTGCTTCAGCCAGGCCACACAACACTGGGCGCCAGACTTCAAATCCTTCTCTCGCAAAGTCCAGCTACTTGACCCACACCCTCGCGCTTCAAGCATGCACCCAACAGCCTGCCTGGACACCCCACCCTGCCTAGGCTGCAAGTCACTTCCGGAAACAAGGGGGCGGGGCCTCTGCTAGAGCCGCCCCGGAAGTAGGCGGTGCGGCGCGGCCCCCAAAGTCGCCCCACCGCCTTCCAGTCGGATTGCGGCCGGGTCCGTCCTGGCTTTGTAGCTCGCTCAAGATGGCGGCGCAGCCACCCAGCGGGATCCGCCTCAGCGCGGTGAGCAGCCG